GGATAGGGCTCAAAAGCTCTTGAAGACTCCAGGACCAATATTGTTCTACTCAGGAGTTTGTTATAATCTCCCTTTCAGAGCTAATCTCTCCCCATCACAGCTGTTCCAACACTAATGAGCGCTTTTGAGAGCTCAGCTTTTCTGCTAAATGATGTTTTCCTCTTTTATTAGTCCATTAGGAGAGTTATTACAGCTCAAGTGCTCTGATAAATAGCAATGAATTCCTTATCCTCAAATGATGGTCTTTCTAGGTGCCAGTACATGACATGCCCTGGTGTGTCCCATCTGCTGCATGATGGGCAGGAGGATTAGGAGAACATGGTCCAAGGGCACTACTGGGTGGTGTTGGGAGGGGAGCTGGGGTGAACGTCTAAGACTTGTGGAGAGGTGAAAGAAGCAACTGAAAATTTCTGAGGGGACAAGACCCAGAGAAGAAGTGAAAAATGGGTTTGTAGGGAAGCCTCCAAGCTGGTCAGTTCAAAAGGATTTTTTTTTAACCTGAGTTCTAGAGGAGAAAGCTCTGGGTAGCAAGGAGAAATGGTGTCCAGCAGGTGCAAACATTCACTTCACAGTAGCTTTAAAAAATTCATATTGTTTTAACAAATGCAATTAATGTTCTTCCAGTAACGTGGAGCTGAACAGCCTGATGTGTGCGTCTGCTCCATTGCATTGCCTCTGGTTTCCCCTCGGGAGGTGAGACTCGCCTCCCTCTCCAGCAGTGTGGAATTGCACCTTTGCTAAGGGACAAATCTGTGTTTGCTGCACTGATGAGTAATTCTTGAAATCGCCTGACATTAGCTGCCACCTCTATTATTGTGGCTACAGAAGAGCTATTTTGTAACTCAAGGATATCAACGTGGGTGGTGTGGCCACATCCTCTTTTAAGTCATACAGGAAGGCAGCAATTACTCTCATGGGTTGCAATCTACAGTGTGGCAAAGCACGATTTTGCTAGTGTCACACCCAAGCTTACTGGCCTCTAACCCGTTCCCAAAATATCCTTCCTCCCCAATGCTCAATGATGCAGACTCTTGCCCATTTGGTCCCCCGAACTGGCTTTTGACCCAAGCTGTGCAAAGTGGAGGCAGGTGATCAAGCAGCACATGAAACCATGCTGGGAGAGGCAGGACCCACAGTCTGTGTGCCCCAGTTCCCCTGGGGAAGGAGGCTCTGCTGTCCCCACTTACTGCAGGTGCACCTTTCCTTTGGGACGCCCCATGCATTGCCAGGCTTCACGGTGTCTTCCTACTGGATTGAGGTTTCCAGGTTTTCTCTTATTAAATTTCATACCAGCTAAACTAAATACAAGATTTGCAAATGGAAGTCAGCAAAGTGCTGCTACACCCTTTGTGAATATGTAGGTGCATGTACTCTTCTTGCTTTACATTGGTTAGTAGGTGAGGAACTGTGTCGCCTGTGCATGTCACTGTGCATGTCAACGGAGCCAGGACTGTCCACTCGGAGATGTGGCTTGAATTTGGAAATCCCAATTACCAAAGAACTTTGGTTGTGTGTCTCTCTTAAAATCAGCACATCAATAAATCCTATGGCCTTTAGTCCAGTGCTGTCATCTCTCAGGGGATCCTGGTGAGAAGATCCAGCCTCAAAGGGGAGGAATTGCAGGCGTTCTGGTTTCTTAATGCTTCATTTCCAGGTCTGCAGTCCCTAAAGTTTCTCAGCAGGCTCTAACAGAAGGTTTCCACTTTTTTACATCATGCTCACACTTGGGAGGAGTCCAGGAGCTCGCTGGCTGGTTTTGGCTTCCCCTGCAGCAAGGGCAGAGATTCCCCAGGTGTCATCGGGGACTTGGCATGCAGCAGACGGCTCCTGCAGGAGCAGAGGAGGCCAGTGATGCCTCGGTCCCTCCTATGGTATGCTCTGGTTTGTGTCCCTGCATCCTCTGGACTGCAAATTGCAAGTCTTCTGCCAAACGATGGAAGTGCCTGGTGGGACGGATGGGTAGCAGTGTGTGTGCGTGCGTGTGTCAGCTCAGTCCATGTCCAATGTGGTGGCTGTTGCAGGATGATGTCCTGGTGGCACTGATGACAGCAGACTGGGAAAGCTGGCAATGCCACAGCAACTGTACCCAGAAACCAGCTTTCTTAACTGTTTTATAAAGCTGATTTTATGTTTTTTCATCTTGGCTATCGGCTGTGCCTCCAAGGATGTGCAGACGTCAACATCAGCAGAGGTTGTGTGATAAAGAAAATCCAGCCAAACTGACCTCAGAAAATTTTATTTAGTTCGTTTATAGGAGTGCTATTTATCAGTATTACTCTAACACGGTTATCAGAAGACATTCATGCAACTTTCTGAAAGTACCTGGCTATGTGTAATATGCTATATATAAATAAATGCTATTGTAAATGTCGAGTCATACAGGAAGATAAATAAATTAGTTTCCTGGGCTCATTAGAGCTGAAAGCTGGCATTTCATAGCAGGATGAAGAGAATTGCACAATGCAGTTCCATATGGCTTATGAAATGTGTATGAAAACCATTTTCTCCTACCCATCCTAATTATGATATATAAATAGATACACTATTTTCCTTCGAGCACTTACTTAGCTGGAATATTATTTTTTTTTTTTAAAAGACCAGCACAATCAGTTGTATGATGCATTTCTGTAGGCCCTTAACAGATCTCTAAATCAAAATGCAATTTTTTATAGCAAAATAATGACCTTTCACTAATTGGGAAAGAAAAAGTTGCACAATAGTTGACAGTTGTCATGAGTGCTCAGCACTGTCAGGAACCATTTTGGCATTTGGCTTTAAATTGTAGCTGGGATAAGTGTTTAAATAATGTGTAGTAAGTTTTTAAATTATGTGTGTATATGAGTTTTGTGCGAGCATAAGTGTGCTTATGGAAGGAGAGGGCGGTTTGCACTACCCATGGCCAGGCAGCAGGCTGAAACCAAAGGACTGTTTTTCACCTAGGGTACAATTTTGCCACATAACTTGCGGGCAGGACCCCTTCTCCTGGTGTGTGCCAGTGGCCACTGCTAGTGAGCAGCCTGGAGCACTCACTATCCATCTCCCAGGGGCAGCGGCAACCCCATAGGGTTAACAGCAACTGTGAGAAGGGTAGAAGGGGGCCAGCTGGGGCCAAATTCTGGTGGGCTGCATCACCTAAAGGCTCGTATAAATAGGACGAGACAACAGAGACGGAGAAAGGGAGATGTCAGAGCAGTAAGGATGAGATATACATCAAATACATACCTTTTTATTATTCAACATCAAGACTGTGGTAGTGCTTAGAAGCTTGTCTGGACCTTGTTATACCAGATACCAAGATTTTGGGCCCTGTTATACCAGATACCATAAACACGGTCCGCACGGCAGTCCTTGCTCCAGAGAGCAGGGAAAGCCAGGCTATGAGACCCACACACAGCACAAACAGGGGGTGCCTCTGCTTTTCCAGCCTGTCTGCAGTCCAGCGAGACCCTCCCTACCTGGAACCACGGCTGACGTTCGCCAGAGCAGGCTGGGAGTAGTGGAAGAATTGGCCCTTTGAAGGACTACACAGGACTACATGTGGCAACGCAGTAAACAACAGCCAGAGACAGAATAAATGAGTCACTTTTCTAGCATATTTGAATACTGTTTAAATATAAACATTGCAAATGAATATCTCTAACTGAGAAAAAATAAAATTGGATGCAAAAATACATCAATGATATACTGCATATGCACATAAATACATTATATGGTTTGCACAGTCATTATGCGTCTTCCTTCAGGACTGACTTTCTACAGACTGGTACAAAAGTTCAAATACACAAAAATAGAAGGGAAAGGTCTTCAACTAAACACATTGTTGTTTTGGCAAGCGGTTCACTTCCCCCCAAAATGGGTTGTAAAAACAGAACATAGTTTCACAACAGACCCATTTGTGTTTTCACATCATATCTACCTTACAGCAAGAGGGGGAAAAGCGAGCAAGGAAATGGTGATGCATACAGGGTGCTCGATATGTTTTAATGGCATTTGAGACCAGTTCCACCACCCATTCAAAACCTATGATGTTAACAAGGTCTGGAAAAGTCCTCTTCTCAATAAGGAGGGCCTAAGTAATATCCAAATTGCTTTACTAGAAGCCAGGGCTTGCTTAGCCCACACGATCCATCGCAATAGGCAGCTTGCTCCTAACCCTCAGTGAGTGGGGTGCCGTTCCAGAGCAGATGCACTGGATGGGGTCACTGCGGGGGGACGGCGGCTGCCCGGGGGGTCGGGTGCTCCCACCTCATGGAGGTGAAGGAAGCATACGCTGCCCTGGGTGGACTGCTGCTGCGGGGCCAGCCAGGGCTCTCCGAGGCCAGTTTGGAAACCCCGATGCCCCTGGGCAATGCTGCTGCATGGGGCAGAGCGTGCAGCCGGGGTCACTCCAAGCCCCAGGTCTGGGGCTGCTGCAGCGCAGCGGGACAGCAGGAGTCCTGCCATGGCTGAGCAACTGCTCCTCCTGACTCGAAACCTGGTGCCCCCCCGCATCAGCCTAACACAGCCGTCCCTGCCTGGCTCAGAGGAAGGCAGATGGGGTGCAAGCATGCTCACGGAGGACTTTACCAACATCTCTAAATTTTCACTTCAGTGTTTGTTTCCTTCCATTTCCTTAGAAGACATAGGAGATGCCTGCTCAGTCTGGGCTAGTTGGGGAGTCAGCGATGTGGCCTTCGCGACACCCGGTGAGGTAGACGGAGGTCAGAGCACCAGGGCAGTGTCCAGGCAGACAACGTGGTGGCACCAAGGAGACCTTGGGGGAGTCCGTGACTGGTGCGAGGAGAAGCCCCGCTCCTTGTGGGCACTGCTCCTCCCGTGGGCGCATCCTCCTCCTGGCCCTGCGCAGAGGATGGTGATTCCCATAGAGATGCTGAGGACCAGATTAGAACAACGTATTTTCTGTAAGAAAAGGTGGCAGTGTGCGCTGAGCATCGCTCCAGGGGATGGTCTCCATCCCCAGCTTAGCTGACAGTCCAGCACAAGAGGGCGACAAGGGTGGCCTAGGACACATTTATGTTGGAGAAGAGCGGGACCCCGGGCAGCGTGGAAGCCGTGCAGTCTGCCAAGTAGCCCAGGATGCTTTTGAGTTCGCTGCGTGACAAATTGGCTTTTTTTTCTTCCAGGTGCTTTTTGCTGTGGAAAAGAAATGGGTAGGTGTGATCTCCCCCCCGCAGATCTCTGTGTGCAAGGTCCCCCGCACCAGGATGTGGCCCCCCGACTGCAGCGGGCACTGAGGTCCCTGGCAGATGCCAGCTCAGCATCTGGCAGTCCTACACAGGACCCAGTGCTGTCTCGGGGGGTTTGCGGTAGGATAAGGAATCTCCAAGGTAAAGGAGAATATCAGGCCAGAGTTTGGAATATATGAATAGGGACTTTATTTTGTTGTCCGATGGCACTGGGATTGCCACAGCCTGGCAGGCAGCCCCCACCCCTTTTTATAGACTCAGGCTATATGAACCTCACCTCTACTCATATTTGACTGTTTTCTGCCTCAGTTAAAATTCCATGTAAGTATTTGCAAATCTGTTTCAGCATCTCTTACCGGATATCTGGGTATGTTGTGGCGAGTGTTGCAACTTCAATTTTAATAGCACCTAAATCCTGAAGTCGGATTATTTCAGCCAGTTTGGGAAGCGCCAGATTCAGCCACGTGGCTTGAGACCCCTGCGAGAAGAGAAAGCGGTCAGCAGGGCATCGTGAGGGTGCAAACCTCCGCCCGGCACAGGAGCTGTGTTTCACAGTGGGTGCAGCTGAGTCGGCTCCTGAGGCTGTTTCCTGGCAAGGGGGAAGGACACGGCAGTGATTTTAGGTGTCTCATTGTTTTCAGTGATGTTTCTAGCCCAGACTTTGCCTGGGCCTGCCTTGGAAAAATTGGATTAGCTTTGTGGTGTTTTTTAATCCTCTTACACAAGTGGTGTAGGGTTTGCCCTAAGATTGAGGTTTCCACATCCACCTCGACAGACTCTCTCTCTGCTCTTCCCTCCTATCACATTTTCCTTTCCTTGGATTTCTATGCTGCTCGGCTTGTGTATGAGGTCTGATGGGCGTTGCCATGTGCTGTTCTCTCCCAGCTCCTCACACTACCCTGCCTTTAGCATCTCCAGGCATTGCCAAAGTCTGCTCCCTGCCCACTCAGTAAAAGCCCTGACTGGACCTGTTTTTTGGCCATTGGATATCCCAAGGTGCCAGCTATCTGACCTCCTGCCCACGCTGTGTGAAGCTCAGGCTTGTTCCTTCTCCAGTCAAGTGTGTGGGGGGTGGTGGAGGATGGGGTTTGGCTTTTTTTGCAGGCAAATTTAGAGGCATGGAAGGAGGGAGGTGTCAGAGGACAGAGAGGGGTGTTTTAGCCATGCCTCTTGTGGAGAAAACCCTTGTGTACCACAGAACCCATGTTACCCATTCCAGCCCCTGCCTGGCCCAAAAGCAGCAGAGTGAGGGAAATCAAGGGCAAGGGGGAAGAGTCAAAACCCAGACTCTGTGCAAGTTATACTGAAACCAGAGAAGACTAGCTAAATCTTCTGACCCTATTAATATAAACCTTCAAAAGGAAAACACTGCCTATGGGACAAAGTAGGATGAAATTATGGCTCTCCATCCAGGGGAGGGGCAGGCTGGTGGCGAGGGAGCCTTCCTCCCCGCAGGCACTTGGCTGCCTCTTTCTGCCTAAGGTCCTGCCTTCCAGGAAACTCAGCTGAGTTGGAAAGGTTAACGAGAAGCCCCAGAAAATTTATTTTCCTGTTTCTCAGTGTGTCTGTGCCCCGTGCTGTTGTGTTCGTGGCAAATGCTGACGTACACTGCTGGTGCAGAAGGCTTCCAGGTCAGCAGCGTTCTTGGAGATGTGTTGGGCCAGGTTTTGCTGTTGAGCTGGAGTTTTCAGGCTGACTTTCCTCTTCAGCAGCCTCACAATGTACTCTTTAACCAAATGGGCATGGATCTTCTCGACGATAACCTGTTGGGAATGAAAGGGGGGATCATCCCTCTATCTTTTGCTTGGGAACAAAACAAATGATGTGCATGGATGGAGGACAAAAACACCTTGGATGCTGTAAGACATGCCCCACCAAACGCCTGCTGCTAATCACATGTCAGGAACGGCGCTGATTGCCAAGGTCCCCACGACTGGTTACGCGACATCCTAGATGCCGAGAATTTCTTTGTACTCAAACTAATGAAGTGCGGGAATTTCCAGATGTTGTTTCCTTCTGGGAAGAGTTTAAAGTGTAGAAAAGATCTCCATGTGTTAGAGAAGTAACAGTACTCCAAAGAAACAGGAATTCATGTTGCTTCTCCTGTTCCTCTCTCTAATACACAAAACATCATAATTTTGTTTCAGCTACTAAAAAGACAAAGGCAGGAAATCAAATATTTTTTTATATGGTGATGTTTCATATATACTCCGGCACCACTAAAAATGTGGTTGTGGCTCAGTTATCTGGGATTTTTCCCAGTTGCATCCATCTCCTCCAGTCCTTAGGGCAATCAAAGGAGCCATGAGACAGAACCATCCAATTGCATCCATGTTTCAAGGTTGCTAAACCAAACACATGCATAAATAAAGCTGTATTTTGGGTGGTCCCTAAAGCACTTTGTCTACAGCAGGAGTGTCTTTTTTCTGCAAACACTGCAGCAGAGCTACAGGAATCTGCTTCTGTTGGAGAAGAGTAAGATTTATGTGGCTAACCTAGGTAAACTGCATGCTGACGGAAATCCTGCCTGAGAGGGCTCTCCAATGCTATGTCAGCTCACCAGCTTAATATGGGTCAAGGCAACTCAAGTCTCAGAGGATCAGAGCTGAAAGCACAGCCTCAGCATCCCAGAATGATTCCAGTATTTCTCTTGGACTTACGTGGTAGAAAGAGTCCTTTAGGGTCCGGAAGTCTGAAATATGTTTGCTGGTGGTTTTAATGATCTCGTTCATAATTTCATTGCTGCAGTCCCACTTATTTTCTGTAAACTTCTTATAATTTGGCTGAAAAAAAAGGAAAATCTGTTTAGTTCCCTCAAAACAAATTCAATGCACATGTATATTTAGCATTTCTATATGTACGGTATCCTACATAGTGACAGCACGGTGTGCAGTCCTGTGCAGGGACATGTGATGATGACTTACAGGGGCAGGGGAAGAGGGGGCCATATTGGGTTTGTGTCCCCTTCTTAGTTCCTCATGGTGAAGAAGACTGAGGGCTTGAAAGGCTCATATTGGAGATGCTTTTTTTATTTCCACATTTTTAATGTTTTGTCCACCCCATCTAATTAGAGAATTATGGAATCATCAGGGAAAAAAATGAATCATTACGAGATGTTTTCAATCACAATTTTTCTTTGCTACAGTAAATAAATATGAAAATAAAAAAAATCACCTCTGCTCTGTCATGCCTTCTAAAAGGCCCTAGAGAGAAAGCAGGAGAGATTGTGGCAGAACATTCCTGACTCCTACGCCTTCCGCTCCACCACACTTGCTTAACTTAAAAAGCTTGTGTTATATATAAAAAGAAAAAAAAAAAAAAGAAAGAAGCCAAGGGTGCCTTTCAGGCCACCTTTATGAAGAAGCCAAAAGCTGTGTAATTGCAGTTCATGTCATTTGTGATTGCTTCCTACTGTTTGGAGTGTGAACACTTGCAGGTTGAGACTCTCCCTTCTGCAGCAGTTATCTGAGCCGTGATCAGCACATTTTATGTTTGTCTGCACAGTCATGCCTATGTAGCTGCACCCATTTTGCCTGCAGGCTTGAGGAGCAGCTCAAAGAGAGGTGAGTTTGAGTTTTCTGGCAGCAATGCAAGTTAGGACGGATGCTGAAAGGTGACCTGGCCCAGACCCCTTCTGAACTTTGCTGCATTTGAATCAGAGATTTGGGCAGGAGAACGTGCCTGGCCCTGGCACAGGCTGAGCCATGGGGCAGGAGGGTGTGGGGTGCGGACACAGTACCTTCAGCTGGGCAAACAGCTGTTGAAGCAGCACGTCAAAGCCGCTGTTTTCAATGTCGCCGAGAGTGCTTAGGATACTGGCTTTATTGTCATCTTTTTCTGCCATGTTTTTCTCTGCGTAGTCTCTGCAAGGAAATATCAGCAAGGTCAGAATAATCTGCCCTCGAAAGAGAGAGAGAGTAATACAGAGGTCTCCAAACCTTCCTCTGCAGGCAGATGGACCTTGCTCTACCCACTCTGGGGTACCTCCATTGCCTGCAGAGGAAGGAGCAAAGCCTTTTCTTTTGGACCCTTACCTAAAATTCCAGCAGTTGTTAATATTTGCAATCAGTATAGGCTTGTAGTGTCTGTGCTTCTTGCTTTTCTCCTTAAAGTCTTCAAAAGCATCCTTGTAGCTGGAGGGGAGATGGGAAGAGGGGAGGTGAATGAGTGTGTGCCCGGGGCGGCTCTGCCAG